TCTGCCTCTCCCGTTTCACAATCACATCAGCTAAACTGCGCAGGCAATGGTACCACAGAAGAACAGTAGTCGCCGGCCGAACACAGGGAGCTTCATCCCAGTTCTTTTGTTATACCCGTCTCAACCTGAAACACTGCGCATCTTTCAACGAACTGCATGCGCCCGAAAAAGCACAGTCCCGTTGCTGAAAGAGCGCACTTTTCGACGTTGTGACTACGCGTACCCTTCGCTCTTCCAGTTCTTTCACTGTCCGGAGTAGTAAATTTTCGGCCACCGAGTCTCACTTTTCCAGCTTCTTCTGCCCAAATTGCTCTATCATCCGGTACGGACGCTTGGCTATCCTCACCCATTTGCACATCCAAGAAAACTAATCGTTTCCCAATTTCATTGCTTTTTATACAGCACCAATCAACTCCGAAATATGCAAAATTATTCCAGTTTGCACATCGCATTTGTTGACTCTTTTTTGCGCTATTTATGCGCTATGTGAGCATTGAAAATGCACTGAGATTTGTGCTGTGACTGCATGCAAACATAATGCATGTTCGGAAATCCATGCGAATAGCATGTGCTCAAATTTGCGTGTGCATGTCCGTATTCAGCACGAAAAGGAACACTATGTCCCACTTTATCTGTTTTTCGTTGACTGTGAAATACGTTCAGAAATGTTGAACTGTTGTGCTACGAGTTTTCGCAGAAGAAAGCAAGTAGTGTCTGCTTGCATCGCTTGTGCAGTATTTTCTACGTAGTCCACAGAAAGAATCATATCTCCTATCGTAATCCCCGAAAGGTGATTCATTTTGTGAATTACGTAGAAAATACCGTACAATCGATGCAAGGAGACATTATACATCTCAAAAAGAACCATTAAAATATGGGCAGCAGTAATGAAAAATTGAGGCAAGATGTAAACAGCGATTGCGGCAAAAACTGATCATTTACTAAAAGAAGTTAAGGAGCTTAGGGAAGTGCACACAAATTTGCAGGTTGGATAAAATACGCATCATGTAAGTGACGATAATCAGTGGCAATGAGAGAAAAGGAGGCGAGAAAGATATGAACGTTATGGATCCAGATTTCTTTGCGCATATCATAAGCATCATACCTGTTTAGAAGCACCCGGGGCCCACGTACAGGCACGTGCAAATATTGGCGCAAAAATCACTAACCCGGAGACGAAAAAAGCTAGAAAGCTGAAACTTTCGGGGAATGTTCCTTACTCATGTATGACCAAAAAATTTCAAATTCAGCCCCTTATCGTGGCTGGTTCCCGAGATCGCTTTTTCGCCAAAAGATATGCATATTTTTATGCGTTTTTGCGCTGCTACAGCCAACAAAAACGCATGTTGACGAGAGGCTGTTTGTGCGTGTGTTCGGATGCGAATGTACTTTGTTACCCACTTTCATCTCAGCAACCAGGAAAGCTGGGAGGCTGAAACTTTGGATATACATTTCCACCCCATGTGTCATCCTTCAGTTTTAAGATCTTTCCCCATACGCGCCTAGGCTCGCTAACGGGAGCCCCAAAGAAATATTTTGGTGGGAAACGATTTCGCGAAACAGACAGGGTAGAAAGCAGAAACTTTGCAGGGATATTCTCCATGCACGCGCGAGCTAAAGATTTTAAACTCAGCTGTTGGGCCCCCAACCACAGCCCCCCTTTTCTTTCACTTACTTACCTTTATATTTATTTACTTATTTATTTACTTTTATATTTTTCTTTTTCCCAAATAGTTTCCTTTTCCCCTACTATTACTTTTTCTGGATTA